TATAATGTTTACATTATTATATGTTTACATATATAAAATGCAAACATATAATTTGTAAAAATTCTAATTCTAATTGAAAACACCAAATAAATGTTCAGTGAAATGTTCAGTGTTATTGTTGCAGCTATTTTTGATGGGGTTGAATATGTATATATATATATAAAAAAACTGCAACAAAAAAAAGCAAAACTTGGAAGGAATATTCTTCACTGCTTAGATCCTCATTTAAGACTGCCTTCATTTTTCATAAACAAAGTCAATTATTCACAAATCCCAAATAACGTGGTACATAATCCTTGAAGTAGTCCTTTCTCCAATGGTCAAATTGAAGCTTTGAATAAGAAACCAACTTCAGCCCTGTGAAATTGTTTGTGCAGTCCGCTCAGCTCAGCAGTGTCAGGTAATGATTAAACCCACTGCTGATTAAACTACAAGACTTGGCCTGAGACATGGAAGACCAACTAACATCTGTGCGAGAACAACATAAGTTTAATGTTGGCAACCTTCAAAGATACCTGTATGAGAAGTCACTGGTATCTAAGAACGACACTCTGACCGTGAGACAGTACAGGTAAAATAACTAATTTCAACAGTCTGCTTTCACTTTCTCAGCCACTAATGATAAGAATGCTAACTATATCCTTTATCTTTGCAGCGCTGGCCAGTCTAACCCAACCTTCCTGATTCAGACACCTTCAAGAAGTTATGTTCTCAGGAAGAAGCCCCCCGGTGAGCTGCTGCCGGGGGCGCACAAGGTGAGCTTTACTCATGTGTAGTCAATCACGTTCGCAATCATGTTTCGAGACTTTAAACACATTATCGCACGTAAATGTGCTAACTTTCTGGATGCAGTTTTGTCTCTTTCCAGCAGAGGGCAGCAATAGAGCCCTATTTAATTTGTAGATTATTACTGGAACAGTGATGAGAATCTGTTTTATTCCGTCGATTTAACGCTACATTGTCATTAAAGCCATGCTTTATGTGTACAGTTGGTTGAGGGTTTTTTTTTAAAGTGAAATAGTAGTTTTTCTACTTCTGTGCACAGATTTTAAAACTTTATTCTGAATATATTTTTTAAAAAAATCTGTATTTTCACAATATTTAGAAGTGACCGTGCTTACACAGGACAACATTGCAAAATGACTCTTAATTGTTTTTGATTGTTTTTTTTTTTATTATTTTCCCCAAGCAACAATGAGATATAATGGCTGATATTCAGCTGTTTGACAGCCATCAGCTTATTGGCTAAGATTGTAATAATAATTAGTCTGGTTGAAATCTTTATCTGGTGTGTCAACACCCAAGATTCTCCTTTATTGTGTGAACAATCCAAATGTGGCCTTAGCGCTCAGAGGGCCTTCCATGCTGCATTCAGTGGTGCTCACCTGTGTCCGGACATCCTACAGGTGGACAGAGAGTACCGGGTGCAGACGGCTCTCTTCTCTGCCGGCTTTCCCGTTCCTCAGCCGCTTTTGTTCTGCAATGAGGCTGAAGTAATCGGAACAGAGTTCTATTTGATGGAACATGTAAAGGTAAGCATTTGAATGCATGTGCTGTACAACAACATATGTATTCATTTGATTTGTTTCACCCGGTCCCTTTCAAGCATTTTTTCCTCTGTTTTATAACTATGCACAGCTTTGTGTTGGACACTTAAATTCATTAAAATACATGAAAATCTATGGTTCTAACATGACGGAAATGTTCAAGAAGTTCAAAGGGTGTGAATACTTGTTGCTGCAATGCACTCTATGTTCTACACAATAACATACCCATTCAGTTTATTTTTATCTGTTTTGTATGTTTTATCATGAGCAGGGCCGCATTTTCAGGGATTTTCAGCTCCCTGGAATGAGTCCAGCTCAAAGGACGTCCGTATACACAGCTGCAGTGGAAAACCTGGCAAAGTTGCACTCACTGGATTTACCATCACTAAAGCTCGAAGGGTTCGGGAGAGGGCCGGGATACTGCAGGAGACAAGTTAGCTAAACACTTTGCACTTAGTAAGCTTCCTTAAATCTGTACGTATGTAGTCAGATTTGTAATGTAAAAAAATTGTTGCTTCATTTTCCAAGGTGTCTACTTGGACGAAGCAGTACACCGCATCAGCCCATAGAGACATTCCTGCTGTGAATGAGCTCTGTGATTGGTTGATGAGAAACTTGCCAGATAAAGATGATGAGGTCACACTCGTCCATGGAGACTACCGACTTGACAACTTGATATTCCACCCAACTGAGGCAAGACTTCCTAGAAGGTTATCATGACCGCAGAATGCATTTTTCAGCAATTACCTCATTGGTTGTCCTTTTTATGATCAGACCCGGGTGATGGCCTCGTTGGACTGGGAGCTGTCCACCACTGGGAGCCCTCTAGCAGACCTGGCCTTTTTCCTCGTGCCTCTGTACTGCCCCACTGGTCTCAACATTAAAAGCTTTATATTCAACCTTCAAGAAGTAGAAGGTAATGCAATAATAATTCACGCATTGTTCACAAGTTTAAAAAAAATCATATATATATATATATATATATATATATATATAAACTTTTCTCTGTGCAGGTATCCCATCGCCTAGTGACCTGATCTCCATTTACTGCAGGTGTCGGGGGATCCCCTCAGTTTCCTTGCCGCCGCTGAACTTCTACTTGGCTCTGTCTCTCTTTAAAGCAGCTGCAATTTCTCAGGTCCTCCACTACATCCTGCTGTGCAAACACACTTGCCCTTATGATAGAACTAAACCATATCGGCGTATGTTATATGGCCACAAATTTCAGTGTGCATTTCGTGTAAGAAAAATAAAGAATGAAAAAGGATGTATGACTTTTTAAATTCTCAGAAAAAAAAAAATAAAATCTTAAAAGTGTGACATACATTTGTATTCAGCTTTGCTGAGTCCATACTAGTAGAAACTGAAATTGTTGCCTATTCTTCTTTTGCAAAATAGCTTATTGTCAAGCATGAGTGAAGCGTTGCCTATGCTCTTGATATGATCTGGTGACACGCTGTGTTCAGTTACTTTTCAACAAACTCCCGGAAATTGTCGACTTTGGCGTGGAAGTCTGCTGGCATAGAAGCGGATGTGTTGCATTAAGCGTTAAAATAACACCATAAAAGCCCGCATGCAAAGTAATTCACCTTGGCAACTACCAGGGCTTGCAGAAGTAACTGCGCGGTTCACAAGCCTCAACAGGTGTAGCAGTTTCAAAAAGGTAGAGCTTTTTGAGACATCGTTATCTAGACGCACTATGGTAGGAAAATCTGATGACGTAGCACAGCTCGTCAGTACTCTGTCAGTCTTTATATGCCCATCTTATAGGCTTCATAGACAGTAATGTTTAATCTTTGGTTCTTGTCCTTCAGTATGAAATTATATTTTAACAGCCAAAAATGCTTCAGAAAGAAGTAATAAAAACAAAACAAAAACAATATAAGTTGCACCTGGCTTATAGTAGTGAGTCGCAGGAGTGGTCAAAATATGAAAAAAAGTGCAACTCAAGAATATACAGTAATTTGGTAAGCTTTGAGTGCAGTAGCTTTCACTTGATTTTATTTTGGGGTGTCAGACTAAAGGGGGTTGAACACAAACACAAGACACACTTTTTAGAGTTTTTTTGTAAAAAAACAAACATTATGCCCACCGGGTATCATTTATCCCCCTTTTTACAGCTTTGCATTTGTTTATCATATGGCTGCAAACTGCAATGACAGTATATGTCACTGTTAACCTACTTATTGCATAACATCCTCTTTACAATGGGCATTAGCATCCACCCAACTGGCCAAATACGTTATTTGTATGCATCGCCTGGTTATGTGACACTTGAAATATCAAATCGTACCAAATGCTGCATCCAAGCCAGTCCTTGAGTTACACCCGCTTACATTGTAATGACAGTTGTGGGACTTTCGCATCAAATTGTTATTTTTCTGTTTTATTGCAGGGAATCTACGCTCGTTACCTGCTGGGCAACGCCAGCGCGCCTGATGCAGCTCAGTATGGCCAGAATGTCGAGCCTTTGGCTAAAGCAGCGCTGCAGCTAGCCAAAAGGTTAGTAACACTCATGAAATGGAAAACGATGCACAGAAATCCACTTATTTTAAAAGTCGTAATTTAATGCGAGCCCTGCGACGGACTGGCCACCTGTCCGTGGCGACCGCGCCTCTCGCTCGACACCAGCACCCCCTCGCAATCCGACTGGGGATAAGCGTGTAGGATAATGAGTGGATGGATGAATTTAATGTGAACAAACCACTGTAATTACAGCCCACCACGGCTGACATCAAAAGGCTCGTTACCAGAATCTGTTGTTGTTGTTGTAGGTGAGAATACTAATCGAATCCACGTGCTGACCGATCTTAAGCAAGCCGGAGTCGGAGCTTGGCACTCAGCTGTTGCGCCGAGTGCATCCTGCCAGCCTTTCACATGTTTCCGATGTGTTTCCTGCCAGCCCACTCGCAGGTCCAGCAAAAGACAGGCTGTTCCCTCAGACTGCCAAAGGCCAGGCTGTGCTCCAGCAGGTTAAAGACTTCATGCAGCAGTATGTGCTTCCTGCTCAGCAGGTCAGTGCCAAGAGCTTCAGTGAGGACAGGGCTCATTTTATTTGCTCAGACAGACGCTTCATTTTGACGTGGGAAGAGTTGTCAGACCAATTCATCCGTGCCATGCGGATTAGTTAATTAAATGGAGAAACCCACAAGTCTGTTGATTGTTTGCTTTTTACTGCACACAGAGACCTCGTTGTTCACTGAACATCAAAAAATTTCTACTGAACTTGGCTTTCTCGTAAAATAACTGGGCACACCAAAACAAACCAACAAAATACAGTTTAAGACTTGAGCAAATTAACCTTTTTGTATTGCATGAAAGAAAAAAAAAATCAGGATGGATTTTTAAATTTTTTCTCATAATGCAATTGTTTATTTCCTCAGGAAGTTGCAGAATACTACACTAAACATTCCCAGTCTCCTCTGAGGTGGCACGCTCCAAAAATAATAGAGGATCTAAAGGTAGGCTGGACGAATATACAGACTCTGTTTAAGTTTGGATTTCAGTCCTTTTTCATTGATATTACCAAAGTGATTTTCGCCATGGACTCAGTCTAGTGTCATTCATCCTGAATTATTACAGATTTGTAATGAATGTTGCTCTGTGAGTGCAGGAGAAAGCCAAGCAGGCCGGGCTGTGGAACCTGTTCCTGCCGGCAGTCAGTGGACTCACTCAGTTGGATTATGCCTACATCGCGGAAGAAATGGGCCGCTGCCTCTTCGCTCCCGAAGTGTTCAACTGCCAAGCTCCAGGTAAAAAAAAAAAAAAGAAAGAAAGCAAGCAACTAAATAATGTCATATCCTGAGGTGTTTTCGAGATATATGGGGCTCGTAAATGTCACAAGCATTTATTTACTTAAGTTACACGAATATATTAACTTCTCTCATGTTCTGATGAGGTTCTCTTTGCATGCAAAATACATTTTCTCCAGTTGTCACAACATTTTAAATCAAAACTCAACCTGCTTAATCTTTTTCCCATTTGTTATGACACAAGCACACCTACAGGATTTCATGTGACAGACAGCACAGAGCAAGAATTTTCGTTCCACTGTGACGTGGAACGGAAATTACACAATTTTCTTTTACAAATAAAGATCCGTAAAGTCTGACTCGCAATGAATGAATGAATGAATGAATTTTTCCGAGGCACACGAGTAGCACAAGAAGAAGAGAGTTCATAAAATTCACATACACTCGGTGTGTGAACATGCACAAATGGTAAAAAGTGCAGTGCATTTATTGTGACTATGTGCTGTGTGAAGCGCTTATGTAGTCTAAGTGCAGCAGTGTAGCAAGAATTCATAGTTGGTCTGTGACCTACATTCCTGAATTGACAGGAATGTGGGTTGTGAAAGAGAGGGGGGGAGGGGGGGGGACATGTGGCAAAGGTCAACAGGCCTGGACTTGAACCCATGACGGCCGCATCGAAGACTGCAGCCCTCCAGACATGGGCCTCCGCTCTACGCCTGCACCACTGCCATGCCCGGTGACACTCTTTTTTATAATCTCTGTGGTATTTAGTCAAACTTCAGTGCAGCACATGTTATACACTTACACCCTTTGTGGCCTCTTTGTCAGAAAGTCCATAATCCACAGAACTAAGCTGTTTTTTAGATTAATGTAAAGGAGTTTTTCTGCCAAGATGTGAGGTTGCCTAGTATTGAATTGAGGGGGGTGGGGGGGGGGATCGGCAAGAAGAAGCCTGGCTGTTGTGTTGGGAGGTTCCGAGTCCTCGAAGATTTTTGTGTCATCAACTCCTCTTTCAGCCTTATATGTGAGCTGGGAACTGGGAGTTTACCTCAGCAATGATGGAAGTTTTTCCTCATCCTCTCCAGAGCCTGTATATTAACACCCCACAGCACCTGTCTCTGGGATCCCATTATTTCTCCCATAACAAGGAAAAAAAATCCACTGTGATTTGCACAACATAGATCATTTTTTGTTTTGTAGGGCAAAACATCCATTTTTGTGGTCTTATCTGATCCTGAGCACCTGCTTCCCATGTGTTTCCCCTCCATGGCTTATAGTAAACTACAAATGGGACTCTCTTCTTCCTGCCACTCTCCCCTGAAGGTCAGATTTGTGAGCTGCGATACCTAATAGTTACAGATTCTCCCACCTGACCCGTGGATCTCCTCCAGAGTCCATGGGCCTCTTGGCTGCTTCTCTCATTAATGTTACCCTGGCCTGACTTGTTTTTGTGGAGAGCCATGTCTTGGTAGGTTTCCAGTTATGCAAACCTCCCAGACATAGAAGTATTTTCTTTTTCAGTCTATTGACTTAGTTCATTAAGAAATATTCCTGATTAAAGAACTCCTCCAATAGAATGGGGGTGTAGAAGAAGCTTGTATAGAAACTCCATTAATGATGTTTTTCCACAGACACGGGAAACATGGAGGTGCTCCACATGTTCGGCACCGAGGAGCAGAAGAAGAAATGGCTGGAGCCTCTGCTCAGCGGAGAAATCCGCTCCTGCTTCTGTATGACAGGTATGAATATGATCAAGTATTTATTGGCAACCTTGCTGAAAAAAAAAAAAAAAAAAAAAAATGGCCTTGAAATCTTTTTTTTTTTTTTTTTTTTTGAAAAATTTCCCCTAATAAAAATAAAAA